ATTAGTAAATTTTTATAAAATAAACTGATCCCTTTCCTAACCCTACCCAGTAAATGTCTGATAAACAATTTGAGAGCTAAAGAAAGTTAGACAAAATGTTTTAAAAAATTACAAGAAAAAATTCTACGTCAGATAAAAATTCGACCCAGACCTTGTTCCTCTTCGAACGCAACACATCTATCAAATACGCTACCGGCTAATTTATTAAACGCAATCTAAATGAGAAATGTATTTTGCTAAAGCGCTGACAAAGTAGTAAAATCTGTGACCTACATTACAACTGATCAGCAGGTTATTTGCTAAGTCATAATTTTCTGTTTGTTTGATAGTTTCTATGTAAATTTTTCTTTAATTTCATCTGACACATGACCTGTTATATATGAGACGTGACATGTGACCCCTGACCCGTAACATGTCATGTCAAAGTTGATAAAATTATTTATGGTATTGTTTTATAGTCTGCATTGGACTATTATTTGCAACCTTTTTCCTTTGTCGGTATCACTTATAACGTCAGCAAAAAGTGGCAAAATGGATGCCGACAAAGGAACAAAGTCGCTTAGCTTTTTTGTGGAAAACCGGCTTTAGAACAAAATAATTCCTCAAAGTAGGAGGTAATTAAGATCAAGGCCGGCGAGAGCCAGCCACAGGCCCGGGACAAATTAGTGAACCCGGGCTCCCAATCCCTCTCGACTCTCACGCTGATGGCCACACCAAATTCTATTTTTTAATCGCAATTCGGCAACGAGGGAATCGCCAGCGAATTACTTGCAAGAAATCGCCGGAGAATTTCGGTACCAGGAGATGGACGTTGTAGTCTTTAAAAATAGTTACTCTTCAAGAGTTATGACTTTATTACTTGGCAGATTGTTTTTTACTCTCAGTAAAATACGGCAAATATAGTTTCATATAAAGAAATAATTTACTATTAATTTATTTTATTTATTTAGTCAGTAGTTATTTAGTCTGTCAGTAATCATACCCTGAGCGTCACTAATATCTCACGAAATTACAAAATGATAATTCATTCTTCGTCGGTGTTTTCATGTTTTTAAACAACAAGTATTTAGTTGTCGATATAAATTGGCTTTCACAGCAACCTTGAAACTCTATTTTTAGAAAACGATTTTGTATACTGTTCAGATTACTATTGCTTTCCGTAGAAAATAGGTTCTTTGCAAAGTATGTGCATTTTAGGAAATTTCAGTTTGGCTATTTTAAGTGTCGATATTGACTTTTTTCTGCAAACGTTGTTGAAAAAACAACTCGCCATCCACGTAATGGCCCGAAATATCCTGCCGCAAGAGTCTGGCGCGAGTCAAAATGCCAAGATTTGAAATCGGCCATTTTGTGGAGACAAACTTTTTACTGAGAAAAGATACGACTATACGCATTCTATATATTTTTTATATTGTTTCTATGATATATTCTTCTACGTTTGAATCAGATTGAAAACGGAGTAATTGTGGGCTTTAATGAGACAATATGTGTACCACGGAAGATAATTAATATTTAGTTTAGTACTAACCAAGTCGTACAAGTACCATATTTTACCTGATTTTACTGTTTTACATGACCCTCGTTCTTGCGATCTGCCTTTCATTGCCATCACAGTAACATACATGCATGAGAAAATGGTCACAGGAAACAGGACTTCGGTAGATATATTCAGACAATTACGTACGCCGAAGCTAAAAATATTTTTAAAGACAAAGTACCAAAATTTCGAAATATTTCTATTTAGGGGCTTCGGTGGCGAAGTGGTTAGCGCACTTGCCTTTCACCTCTAAGGCCGCAGGTTCGAATCTCAATGAGGACTTCTCATTGTGACTGGAACCCAGTCCTAATGTGAAAAGAGTAAGTCAACGCTCTGCCGAAAGTCGTTGGTTTTCTCCGGGCACTCCCACAGGGAGTGTTTCCTCCCACAGGGAAAGTTGACAGGGTGGGTTAGGCACATAACTATGTAAATGCACGACCACATCAGCTATGCTGCGAATTTAATCGTGTTGGAATAAATGCTACAACAACAACAACAACAACAACAACAACAACAACAACAACAACAACAACAACAACAACAACAACAACAACAACAACAACAACAACAAGAGTGAAAAGATCGATAATCGTTATCAGGCAATTATATACGATGCAATTCAATACTTGTATTTTTTTTTAAAAGCATACATATTGCGTCACGGTTTAAAACAGTTAAACTGGTGCTGTATGCACCAATCATCATTCTTAATTTATAGTTAGTCGTTATACTTTTCATACTGCCGTACTTCTTTAATAACTTGTACAGAATCTGCATGATGATACAGTCCATTTATTTATCACTTCTCGCTCTCTTAAAAAACGATAATAAGTTTCTAGCAGATGATTTAAGAATATCAGCAAATTTATTCACTAATTTGAAATCTGTGACTTTTCTCTCTTTAATTTTAATTCATAAATAAACGATAGAATAAAATTAGTTTCTATTTTGAACCATTAAGTTTCATTCGCACAAATCATATATAGTTAGAAAATGAAAGCATATTGAGAAAACTTGACCGGTCGACATTTTCAAGCATCAGTTACTAAGGAAAATTATCTTATAGTTGTTGCAGCTCAAAATAGGTGAAAATAATATATAAGAGAGAGGTTTGAGATGGAATTAGGGAAATTCATCATAATTTAGACTATTATTATTAGTAAGAACTTGCAATATTTTTATAACTATGAATTAGTCTAAAATTCTTTAATGTCATTTGACAAATATCACCATATATTTCTTATATAACCATATAAGAAAGATTTCTTTGGTTTATCATCTTTAATTATCATATATATATGCTAGTCCTAACAATGGCCGACTGCTGGTAAATCCTTGCATGTGGTTCAAAATTACCTTATTTTTTACATGTTATGATCAAACCATGATCACATGCATGCATGTGTGACGAAATTGTGTCTTCAAAAACCTTACCAGTGTTTGATAAAATCGTTGTTTCGGATGAAATTTCCATACTTAGTTTAGTATTTCAAGATTTTCATTCAGCATGGAGATTAACGTGCAATCATTACCATGATTGCTATACTATATAGTGGGGGTCTATGATAGGGGGTTGGTCACTCCGCAAACCATCCTATTTTTGTCTCCTTCACCATTAATCGCCCGTATTTTCTTCGTGAAAACCGTAACCGTCATTTTTCTTATATAGTAAAAGTTTATCAGCCAGGGTCATCGCAACGATCGACGAGAGTACAAAGATGGCAGATTTTCGTTGAGAAACATTTAACAGCATGATATATAATTGTGTTGGTATGACTTCAGACGTTATTAGAACTTTCGATACGATAACAGACTTACATAAAGTACTGACTGAGATAAGAGGCGAGCCCGCGGTAAATAGGACGACAACGTGTAAACAACGTTTTGGTTTTTGGTTTTAATACACCACAGTGTTTTACCGCTCAAAAGGCTTAATAATTCGACGATATTTGTAAAGAAATAAAAGTTTATACATTGTTTAAGTACATTATCGTTTTATTTGAGTAATTATGTTTGCATGCGCGTTGAAATACGTGGGTATATAGCGATACCAATACAGTAAAACACTAGTGATCGAAGAAATCAATCAGGACGGTGACGTTCGTGAGCTATAAAGAAGCCGACTTTAAAGGAGTTTTGCCTGCCAAATACTCGAAGTTGCTTGACGTAGTTATCGTTGGGTCATTGGTCGATGTTATGAACTAAAATATGAGTGTCCAAAACAAGAAACAAGAGAGAAGTAAGGCCAAAACGGCGGTTAGTTTGGCCTCGAGGCGACTTATCGGTGCAGCCCACCGAGGAACAGAATATGATGTGTTGAAGAGTTTAATAATCGAACTCGAAAAGGCGTACGATGATTTCTGTGTAGCAAATGAAGAGTTTGAACTTCTCGTGTCAGAAGAAGAGAACAGCGAACATCGTATTGTGAACGGAGAGGATATTAGTGAGTATAGAGACAATGTTAAACAGTGTTATAATGAGGCTAGGGAAGTATTCTTGGAACAAAAGGCTGCTGAGCGAGAAATAAACAAAAACTTAGCAGTAGAACCAGCGAGAGTTGCCTTAAAGCTAGATTCTAGTCGAATAAGTGAGTTAATCGAAACAGTTGATATAAATATTAATTCTACCAGTCCAAATAAACGAGCATTGCAATTAGACAAAGAAGAATTGCAAGCAATGTTAAATGTGTTGTGTGGGAAAATCTCTGAATTGAGTTTGATTGGGTCTTCAAAATCAGAGCAAGATATTCAGTTACATCTTGAGATTGATAAGATTATTGCACAAGGTTTTAAACAGGTTAGATCCATAAATCTGTACCTATGTGACTGTCAAAGTTCAATCGAAAAGACTCCATCACCCCCTATTGTAAATCAAGTAGATACTGTGGGTGCATCTGCTGCACTTCTTAATGTAGATAGTGCAACCTCTGGTAGCCCACCTGTGACCAATCCCAGTATTCAAATTGACCACACCCCTACCAGCCCCTCCAAGGAAGGGACAGTGAGTGACATCCCCCCACCTGCAGTTACAGAGACAGATACTACCATCAATGTGTCTGCACCTGAATTTGCACCTTCAACAATGAATGATCCAGTGAGTAGTTCTGTAATCAGTGCCCAGTCCACCTATACATTTACCAATCCCCAAGCCATACCCCAAACCACAGCAAACCTTTCCTATTTTATATCAATACCCAACCACCAGCACCATGCACCACCCCCCTCCACAGATCAATCCATCTACAGTCAACACACCCCACCACTTAAGTACCAGCACCGCCCCAATCCACTTGTCCCCACCTGTCAATCCCACATCAAGTTTTCCACCAAATTCGATTGGCTTACACCAATACCCAAGCAACACCCAACCCCACCTTGGTACAAGTATGACCCAAGCAACATTACAGCAAACTTTCAGTAACACCAATCCATACCACAACACCCCCCTACTACCACACCATAGTATGACAAGTCTCTACAACAATGTACCTCCACAGAATTTGGTAAGTTCACCAGAGACAACTATGTATTTGAACAGTGTGTCCCCAAGCACTCCAACTACTAGCCCATCAACATGGAACCCACTGCAAGTACCAGTGACTTATTCTACTCCCAATGCGAGCGAGACATATTTGGTCAATCCCAGCACAGTCCCAATCCCCTCAGTCGGTCCACAACCTACACCTCACCACAGCCCTAATTCACTGGGCTTCAATTCTCGGGTCCAGGTAAAGAAAATGGCTTTGCCAACATTCAGTGGTAACCGCAAAGAGTGGCCAGAGTTCAAAGCGATTTGGAAATCAGTCGCTGAGACAGCATATCAAAATAAGGCTGCTTTGGCTCATGAGCTTAGAAGATCGGTAAAGGGTGAGGCAAGTCGACGAATAAGATCAGTCTATGTCACCAAACCGGAAGCATACAATGTCATGTGGCAGAAGTTAGAAAGTTTCTACGAGGATGTTGGTGCAAGTGTACAAGCTGCACTAGAAGATTTACATAAGATTAAGGCAGTACCGACAGATGATTACAAAGGCTTGATAGAACTTGTAGACGAAGTAGAATCAGCGTATAGTCAATTGGAGGAGTTGGGAAACCTAAATGTTTTGACGTTGAGAGATGTTGATTTCATCACCGAACTGCTACCATGTTATTTGAAAGTAGAATGGCGAAGAAGATATAGGGACATCACGGCCAGTGAAAAGATACACCCTTTCATCCCTTTCATGCATTTTCTCGAAGGCGAACGAGAAGCAGTCTCTCGAATAGCCGAGTACCAGCCAAAGGGAAGGAGAAATGAATTTCCGAAATATGAGCGAAGAAAGCAACATGTACAAGGTTATCATGCAGGGAAGCAATCCTCCAAGAAGTATTATAAGTGTGCCTATCCATCTCACAGAAAGGACAGTATCAGTCATACCACATCGGAATGCAAAGAGTTTCAGAAGTTACCAGTTAGCGGAAAAGAAGGAAAATATGAACTCTTAAAACAAATTGATGCTTGTTTCAAATGCTTTGGAAACCATAGAAGGCAAGACTGTCCCAAGAAAGTTCCTTGTCCATGTGGAAGTGGTGAACATCATCAGTTACTCTGTGAATCCAAGCGTCCAGAAGACAATAAGAGTACAGATTTCGCACAGAAAGAAACCCACGTTTCTCGATCGGATTCATTATCCCTGTATCCCATCTACCAAACAGCAGTCTGTGGAAGCAACAAAACTGTATCTGTTTTCTGCCCCACCGGGCAGCTGAAAGAATAAAAGCCAAGAAACTTGGAAAGATCACCCTTGACGTAACCACCATGGGAAATGTTGAACAGACGTACCACACCCAGCAGTATGAATTCACCTTGCAGACAAACTCGGGTAAGAAGGTAATCATCACAGCTTATGGAATGGAAAGAATTACTGGCCCAGTTAGCAAATTGAACAGCGAAGTTTTGAAGAGTCTATTCCCGGAATATGATCCCGACTCACTCCAGAGAAAATCAAACCATGTTGACGTTCTTCTTGGATGTGATTACTTTGGATTGCACCCTAAGCATGAAGAAGCTCGGTGCGGAGATAATCTGAGTATAATGAGTGGAGAATTAGGCGTCTGTCTTCAAGGTGCCCACCCAGAACTTGTCGAAGGAACTAAGCATGATTCAAATCTCGCGAAAGTGATTCATGAAGTTAACGTTAAAGTGGAAACATATCAACTTCATCTCGAGGATCACCCTCAGTTCAACCTTAGTTCACCCTCACCACCCCCTTGTTCAGCTGAAGCAGATCAGCCGTCCTACAACATGACAAGTGGTGTTCATCTGGCGAGAGAAAAACGACAAGAAAGTCAGCTTGGAAATTTCATTGAAGGCGAAGAGCTTGGCACTGAGACAAGCCCTCGTTGCGGCAGTTGTCGATGTGGTAAATGTCCTATCCTTGGACATACGTACTCGTTCAAAGAAGAGCAAGAACTTAAAATTATTCGTGAGAATCTAGAGTATGATGATTCCAACCAGCGTTGGATAACCAGTTATCCTTGGATCGTGGATCCACGTAACCTACCTGATAACTATAATGTCGCCTTAGCAACCTTGGAGAAGACAGAGCGTACTCTTCAAAAGGATGAACTTTGGGCAAATACGTACAAAGAGCAAATGAATGATATGGTTCATCGCAAAGTGGCACGTCCTCTCACGTCCTTGGAAATCCAACAGTGGAAAGGTCCTATTTTCTACATATCTCACTTGGCTGTGTTCAACCCCAAGTCAAATTCGACGCCTGTTCGCATCGTGTTTAACTCCAGTCAAGTCTACAAAGGAGTGTCTCTGAATTCATGTCTAGCAAAAGGACCGGATTGTTATATGAATAACCTGATCGGAATCCTGTTGCGTTGGCGAGAAGAAGCTGTGGCTTTGGTAGGTGACATTAGGAAGATGTTCAATTCAGTCCACTTGAAAGAATTGGAGAAACATTGTCATCGATTTCTCTGGAGAGGACTTGAACTTGATCGACCTCCTGACGTATATGTGATGGAACGAGTTAATATGGGTGACACCCCTGCGCCAGCCATAAGTACGGAAGCAATCTACAAGACGGCTGACCGATTCAAAGACGACAGCCCTGAAGCAGCAGAGCTGTTGAAGAAATCGAGCTATGTGGACGATCTGATTGACTCGCGTCCGACCGTAAGTTGTGCCCTCAAAGTCGCAGAAGAAGCAGAGAATATGCTTGCAAAAGGCGGGTTCTCAGTGAAATGCTGGCAGCTGAGTGGAGAAGAAAGTCCTCGAAAGACGGCTCGTGGAGTCAATACCGAGGAGTTTGGCAAACCCCTGAACATGCTAAAAGGAACCGAGTCCAATTTGCGAGTTCTTGGTCT